GGCCTTTTACCTTTCCAGAAGAAAAAGCTGAGAAAATAGAAGAAAGGCTGAGCTGCTGGTAGATTTCCTGGGCTATGAGGGAAAAAAATCAAAACACAGGATCGACCAAAAGTGGGATGCAAATAAATCATCACCCAAATTAAGCTGAGATCCTAAAGGCAAAATCATCAGGTCAGGGAGAACCAGATGTAAAATAGAACTCATACAACTCATGACTTGTAGCCCTGCTTAATGTCATGTGTATGTGTATGTGTGTGTATAAATACAAATATATGTTTTATAGATTCATATATATATAAAACAGTAAGTTTTGAACATGAACTAAGTGACTTGGGACTGGTAGCATGCTTAATCATCTTTCCTAGGAAAACATGGCTTCTTGAAAAATATACCATTATCCTAAGACTTAAAAAATCCTATAATTTTTCAAATCCAATAACTAGCATGTAGGCACACAAGAAAAAAATCATGAACCAGCAGAAACAGACCCTTAAAAAATTAAGAAACTGAAATTATCAGTCAAAAACAAATTATGAATAATAAAAATAAAAGCCACAACTGTAATTTTTTAGCAAGTAGCTACAAACAGGAAGAACTGGGGTGACTTACTTCTTAAAAACCCACTGACCCAGAGATTCAAGCATCTCAGTTTACCCAAAACAGGAAAAAGAATTCTATACAAAACATCATAAAGTAGCAGAAAACTTAAGACAAAGAAAACATTTTTTTAGAGATTTCTTTCAAAGCAGCAAGTATTAGATTGACAGCTGACTTCTCAAATCACTAATGGAAGCCAAAAAAATAAATCAAAAAGCAAAAAACCCACAGTGGAACATTATCTTCAAGATTCCGACAAACAATCACAATCTACAATTTAAAAGACCCAAAACATTCTTCAAGATTGAAGATGAAACAAGACACTGTAAGGTAAGCAAAAAATTAAGAAACTGATCGTCAGTACATCTGTAGTAAAGATATTCTAAACAGTATATTAAAAGATCTTAAAAAAATTCTATAAAAAGTTCTTTAAAGAAAATTCAGAGATGGAAAAATTAATGAAGACTGAAAATGGTAAAAATAATAGGAATATGTAACTGAACATTGATGGTAAGAACAGTACTGTTCAAGTGAAATACAATACCACTCATATATATATATAATTTAAAATTTTCTAGTACCCACATTAAAAAAAAGTAAAATTAATTTATTATAGTTTCAACATGCAATCATAATAAAAACCTGAATTATTTTACACTGGTTTCATACTAAGTCTTAGAAATCTGGTATTTGACATTTACAGAACATGACAGTTCAGATGCTAAATCGTCATCAGAAATACTTGATCTTTATTTTTATAGTTTCAAGCTGAAAGGAACATTTACATACCCAAGTTGTTCCAGACATACTTAAGGGTTTTTCAACAACTGAATCAAGTTATCAATTTTCAAATTTAAATTAACACTACATAAAACTAAAAATTCAGTTCCTCAGCAATACTAAGCACATTTCAAGTGGTCCACGGCCAGCCACAAGCGGGCTAACAGTATTGGGTAGCACAAGTATAGAACCTCTTCCTTTGAGTTAAAATTACAAAGATTTAAAATAATGCTAATAGCATATAAGCCAGTAAGGAATGAAATGAAGATAAAATCACTGAGGATGCAAGAAATGCTCCAAGCACAGAGAAAATATTTGCCACACTGGTCTAATCTTTAAGTAAAACATCGACAACCCAAAAGAAACATTGTGAATAGGAAAAGACATTTCAAACAAGAAATTGAAATAGCCAATAAATTTTTTACAAAATGCTCCAAGTCATTAATAACCAGAGCACTGTAAATTAAAACAGTAACATAAAGCCACATTCATCACGTTGGCAAAAATGAAAAACATCAACTGTTGGTGGGACATTAGAAAAAAGTTATGTATCATACACTGCTGGTAGGAATAAATTGATATATCTATTTTGGAAAAGTCTGGCATAATCTACACTCTCCAAAAATGCATGCTATGTGCATAAAATACATGCATAGAACATCTATAGTAGCATTGCTTTTAACTGCTAAAAACTGGGCACAATCCAAATGTCCACTAATCTTAGAGTAATTAAATTAATTGTGGTTTATTCATAAAAGAACTTACTACACCATTTACTATAGACATTACCATACAAAAATGAAAAAATATGTACTACAGCTAAATCTACTGACAGGGTTAAAAAAATATTGGTGACCACAGAGGAAACATACACAATGTGTAATTCTTTTCTAATTTTTTTAAAGATTTTATTTATTTATTTGACAGAGAGACAGCAAGAAAGGGAACACAAGCAGGGGGAGTGGGAGAGGGAAAAGCAGGCTTCCCGCTGAGCAGGGAGCTTGATTCCAGGACCCTGGGATCATGACCTGAGCCGAAGGCAGACGCTTAAACAACTGAGCCATCCAGGCGCCCCCGTAATTCTTTTCATACAGGTAAAACACAGGCAAAATTCATCTACATCGTGTAGGAATGCCAACATTGGTGGTTAAAAAAAAATACTTGAAATAAAAATAGGAAATAATTACCTAAAAATTCAGTTAAGTGTTAACCTCTGGAAGTGGTGAGCAGGAGAATATTCAGGAATGGATGGGGGGGGGGAGGAGTAGGTCTCCAGTGCCAAGAATGTTTTAGTTCTTGACTTTGGTAGCGATCACCAGAGGGTTCACTTAGTAATTATTCATTATACTGCATACCTATGATTTGTGCCATTTTTTGCATATTTAGTATCTTAACATAAAAAAATTTGTTACCGAAGGCACTTAAATTACTTTGCTATAACTTTTTTTCTTTTATAAAGTGGTAAATGTTTAGCTGCAATACAAACAAAATTTTAAGGCACAGGAGTCTAATGTTTACTCCGTTTTGACAAAAGACTACTACACACAGAGAAAGAAGCACTAGGCAATGATGTATAAATACGGTCCATTGCCAAAACATAAGTAAAATGTAGAAAAGTAGCAACTTTGATAGTGTATCCTAAAGAACTCATTACAGAATTAAATAATACCAATACAACAAACATGAGGAATTTTAGATGATTGGTCTTAAAAAAAACCATAAAGGGTGATAATCTTTCAAAGTACTTTTACCAAAGGTAACTGAAAGATCGCAATGGTTCTAGTTAAGATTGTATGAAATGAATATGAAAAAGAAATGGTGATATTTTACTAAAAAAGCCTTACTAATGTAAATTCGTGAATTCTTCAATAGTTGGAATTACTATCTTATGAGGGAAACATTTCCAGCAAAAATAGTTGGTATTTGAGAAACCAGAGGCTCTAAATCCGAAACTAGTAACCAAAGAAACTTAAAACAAAATATCCATTTAAAAATCTCTAATGTACACTACAGAAAAGGAAAATTTTATGTCCCTTCTCTATAAACCGTACAACATCAAGGAGTACACAATCCCATATCCCTTTTTGAGAACAAGCATAGGCGTTGTGTTGCATCAACAACGCCAAGATACGGGAGGCAAATTCCATTCAGGACTTCTCAGCTTGCTCCCTCCTCCCCAAAACCACTCCAGAATTCCAGGGAGCATAGCAAAGTAAGGAATGATGGTCATAATACCCAATGCAAGTAATGCATCCATTGCCAGAAGTTGTCAAAATTCACACATGGAGCTTTTCTCTCCCCCTGCTCTGAGCTGAACAGTCAACAGAGTCATCTCTGATCCCGTTTCTCTTTAGAAGCGTGATCATCAAATTCCCCCCCAAGACCGGGTGCAGTCAACACCCCACCAGAGATCTACTCTCTTGAGGAATCCCTGCAGACTTCAGGGATTTGTCGGCAGCCTCACAGGAAGCCCACGAGATAGAAGGGGCCTGCCTGGTTTCTGGCCTGCCTGGCCTAGACGAGCCTGCCCTCTTCCCGCATTCCCAGTCTCCGCAACCTTCCGTTCTCATTCTTTTCGATTCGCCTTTCGTCCTGGCGACCTTGGCCTTCGTTTTGAGGCCAGCCTACCCCATGTTACCTCTCACAGAAAAGTCCGCCCTTAGCAGGGCAGAGTATGAATTTGGCGACCACAGGAATCGCTTCACAGGCGCCGCTCGCCGCGTAGTCGGCTCAGCTTCACCTGCTACGACCAACGGTACACCACTACTCCCGGCATTCCCCGCGCACGCACCGCGTCTCCCACCCCGCCCCACTCCCGCCCCAACACGTGACCTACATGCGTCTCCGTCCCCGCCCACTTCCGTTCCTCCACTTTCCCTTAGGAGAGAGGAGGGGCAGGGGGTGTTAAAGAGTAGCGACTTCCTCCTACTCCCCGCCCCCGCCCCTCTACCCCCTGCTACAATGTCTTCCGGGTCGCAAGTGCCTCGGAGCCTTCTGGGAAACCGTATCATTTCCTCCCCTCCCCCTCCTCCTGCCTTCAACCAACCAGCCTCCCGTCAGGGAGGGGCATGCGCAGTGAGTGCCTCCCGTCTCTTCTACCCGAACCCCCCCTCCCCCCCCCCACAAGGAAACCCCCGCAGCAGCAGCAGCTGATGATGAAGAGAGAGGCAGTGGCAGAGGGGGGGCACCTTTTATTTCTATTTTTAAAGGGACAGGACACTAATTTTACCCCACTTCAACCTTGAATTGAGGGGGGTGGGGGGAAGGCGGCTGAGTTCCTTCCCCCACCCTCCAGCCCTGAGACCTGAGAGGGGGATTGAGCCTGAGAGAGAAGAAGGAGTTTCTTCTTCTTCGAAAACCCCCATCCACGACTCCTACCCCCTCACCCCTCCACTAGCCTCCCTCCCGAGCCCCCTCCACCCTCCTCCTCTCTGGCCGTGAGAGGAGGAGAGAAAGAGACCAAAAGCCTCTTAGCAACACAGACCCTTCTCTGCTGCTGCTGCTGCCGCTGCTACTGCTGCTGCTGCTGCTTGGCCCTGGCTGGAGACATCTCACTACACCCAGGAGCAGCCACTTCCCCAGCTCTCCTCCTCCTTCGCCGCCTCCTCCTCCACTCCCCCCCCCCTTTATTACCCTTTGTGTCATCCTCCACAGCTCCAGGGAAGGCACTCAAAAGTGGGGGGCAGGAAAGGTAAGTGTGTCTGTTGGGGCTTCATTGCCTTCCTCTGGCTCTGACTTTAACTCCGGGGCAGCAGTAGCACCAAACCACATACGCAGTGGAGCTCCGGGGTGAGGAGGGGGTGGTGCTGGGGTGGGGGGGGGGGGGGGGGAAGGGGGGGTTGGAGTGGGGAGGGGTGTGTGAGGTGGGTGCCCATCCTGTCAGAGGAGGAAGGGCACTTTTATTTTTATTTGCTGTTGTCAAAAGTGGTTTCTCTTCTCCAGCTAACATCTGATTGTGTCTTGCTCCAGTGGGGGAGAATACAAAAACAACCCCCTCCTTCCTCCAATGAGGCGCCAGGGAAAGAGACAGAAAGAGGCACACTTTCTAGATGTCACTTGAAAAAATTCGTTTGGAGAGCTTTTTTCCTTTTTCCCCAGGAAAAGCTCCACTGCATTTGTTTCTGAGTGGGAAAATGTCGGGATCTGGATTGTATTGGAACTGCTTATCCATTTGTAGACCTGAGTGTTTTCCCCTTTTTGATTCTGTATGTGATTTGGAAATTGACTTCAGTGTTGGAACAGACTTGATTGGTTTTTGCTTTCTGGGTTTAATTTTCCTTTTTTTGTTGTTGTGTCTGACTTGCATGGGAAATTTCAAATTTTTAGTTGATAGAGGCCTTTGGTTAGGTTTTGACTTGTATTACTGCTTGTTTTGTTAAATGTTTGTTTCATACATCAGCATGTAAAGTTCAAAGCTTAAAATGCGCAAAGTTTAAATACCACCGGTATTATCTCTTCCTACAGATATTTATTCTTGATATTTATTTTCCACAAGACGAGAATATTAGCTATTTTCTAATTAATCTGGGTATTTTTCTAACCTTTGTAACTTGTCTGAACAAGTAATCCCCATTGAAAACTTTATGTTGTTCTGGCTTCATGGAAGGCCAAACCTCTCCATCAGTAGTTTGCTGGATTGGTACCACTTTCAGTTTTAACTGAATTATTTATTTTGTGTTGTAAATTGAGATGAGTTTTTCATCTCTTGGGGTACTGAACCAAATTGCTCACTGTACGTAAAAGGAGACATTTCTAAAATATATTTTCATGAGTCAAATCATGAAGTCGTAGTTAGTATATTCATTGTAGTTAGACATGAATTGAAAGATAAATCCGGGTTTAGGTTTATAGAATAAGGTCTTCATAAAAATCACTATGGCTTTCAAATTCAGTGCTGTATTTTATTTCACAAATGCTAGGAAGTATTTTTCCAATGTAGGCCTTTTACTAGGGCTTACATTGGAAAGTGGCATTTTGTTTCATACATACATTTCTTTATCCTTTCCTTGAAGATGGATGCACACATTCATATATACACTCTCTCACACACACCACTCTCTCTCTCTCTCTCTCTCTCTCTCTCTCTCTCACACACACCCTTTTTTGTAACTGCATTGGTATCTCTGATCCCATAATTTATGTCAGCAAAAAATATTCTTCTGTAAAGCAGCAATTTTATGATCAGACTGGTAGTATGAAAACAGCAGTTTGATCAAATAGAAAAGATTGAAGAAAAATAAATCTAGATGGATAATTGACATAAATATTATTAAAACATGGTAATACTTTTAATTTTTTATTTTTTGATGGTAAAGCCGAAACATAATGTGCTTCTATTTTAGTGGCAGAAACGCACTGCAAATGTAGAAACTTGTTCTGTAAAATTTTCATTAATGTGTGCAAAAGTAGACATTTAGACACAGGGGAAAAAAGCTGTGTAGCAGTAAACAATATGGTCTAGTTTCCCCTCCTTTCTGTCATCAATTTGAACAGTTCCTTACCTTTCTCTGAGGTGTAATTGGTGCACTTCAGCAGAAATCTGTGTCAAGTTCAAGTTTTTCTCCCAACATCAATGCTACTATTTCAGGTCTACCTAGGATTTCTCGTCCTCACCCTAATTCTTCAACAACATTATCATAAGAGGGAGAAAGTAGAACTTAGTGAAGAAATCAATTTTAAGGACAGCAAATTGTGTATATAATTGGATGGTAGTTGCCCGTCGGCAGCTGAGTGAAAATTTACAGGCTTGAGTATAATACCTTTACTTAATTTATGTCTGCTTTTCTTTTGAAAACATTCCTTTATCCCACCAGTCCTAGGGTAAGTCTGTATGGTTTGAGAACTCCAGACTTCTTCTAAGTTGGATAATGATTTATATTTAGAAAACTTTTTTTATTATGGCTTATTTTTTAAATTTTAATACATTTTAGGATTGTAATTTTCATCTATGTGATATCTTGGAGGTCACTTTATCCAGCTCTTCATTTAACATAATGCTGAATTTCAGAGAGCTTGAGGAACTTGCCTAGTTTCCAAGGCCTCTTAAGTGAGCAGAGTGTGGACCAGAGAACTTAGGTCTCTTAACATTCTCTGTGCTATACCACCTCATTGTCTTTTGTCAGAAATGAAACTCATTCAGTTTTGTGTATAGCACTTAGGGATTTTATATGGAGGCATATTGTTTTAAGAATATTTAGGTAAATTGCTTTAAGCCAAAATTTTGTCTATTTATAATTCAATTATTTGTTGTTGATTTAAGAGGTACTGATTTATCTCATTCTGGATAGTTACTATTTTGAGAATTATTTCAGCTTCCCCAGATGCTTATTTTTTCTCTGCACTTCTAATTAGTAAATATACTTCTTACTCTTGGATTAAAGACATATATAGATAGATAGATAGATAGATAGATAGTTAGATAGATGATGCATATTGTATTATAAATGTTTACCTATTAGTCTTGCTCTGTGAACCACTTAAGACTAAGGATTTTTGTCTTGTTAACATTTTATATCCCTCATAGCAGTGTCAGTGTCCCTCATAGCAGTGTGTGGTGCATAGGAGGCCCTACTGGTTGCTTATCATAATTGATAATAGAGTTAGGCATATTTGAATTTCTTTACTCCCATATGTAGGATTCTTTTCCTTTCTTCTCCTCCCTGCTACAATTTCTCCACTACCGTGAATTTTTAAATTTATTTTTACTGTAGCTCTCACTTTTTCTGTTAGCCAAATTAAATCCCATTAACAATATAGTACTTAGAGAAAGTAAAAACATATTCCCTTTAATCCTTGTACAGGATGCAATTTAACAAAATAATGTATTTTTAATAAGAGATTTCAAAAACATTCCAATTAAAATTAGCAAATGTTCAAGGTACACTTAAATTTCATTTCATTGAGTGACTAGTACAATAGGTTATTGGAATGATTAGGCCACTTCTGCCAGCTCTATAAAGCAACTGTTACTTAGGTGACATGTTTCCCTGACTTTGTTTTTTTGGTCCTTACCCAGACACTTATCAACTTTCCAGTTTTCTATGGATATGAAGATTTACTCCTAGTCATCACTGGGACCCCATGAAGTCAGCCAGAAAGCCTATGTCCAACTTATGTACCTTTGCAAACTTGTCTGGATTTTGAATGTATGTGCAAAATAGATTGTACTTAGGTATTCATTAAACATCTACTGAGCATCTACTGTCTTTCAGGCATTGTGCTAGGCATCTGAGAAACAAGGATGGTCCCTACAGTTTAATGTGAAGAGAGATTTTAATTGTATTCCACAAGTATATTGGTTATAACTATATTTTGATGTTTTTTCCTAAATAAATTTTATATTAACTAAATAGATACTGTTAGGTGGAAAAATGCGTGTTTAAGAAGGATATGGCTGTATTTTATTAAAATAGAAAAATATAAGGAAAAATTTTCCACTTAATACTGTATTCTGGGGATTTCTATTCTATATATAATTCATTAATTTTAGACCATAAAATTAGTCTATGTGGCTATCATTGCTAGTATTTTATTGATATATACTTTTATTTGAAGATTATCAACATTGTTCATTGAAGTATCTCATTAAATTATCCCCCCCAAAAAACCAAACCCAAACTCTCCAAACTTAAAGTTTTGTTTTTTTTTTTTCTCAAAAGTAACTTTTCTTTTTATATATTATATGACAGGTTATCTTTCATGGTTCTTTGGAAGACATGGAACATTATCATTTTGATCATTTAGTTAATTTCTATAGTTTAAGTTAACAGTATAATTTAATTATCATGGAATAATTACAGTATATACTACTTAGGAGTTTTGGAATTTTCAGTGTGCACTAGATAAATTCCTCCAAGATCCTCATTAGGAACTTTGCAGTTCTAGCTCTAAATTGGTTAGTTGCAATTTTTAATCTTGCTTATGTGATACAATTTCAGTAAAATGATTTGGAAGTTTCTTAGGTATGGATGTTTCAAAACCAAAGGATACTATCTTGTTTCCTATCATGGCCTTCATATATAATTTAAAAATATTAGAAATTTCCTGGATTTTCTTTTTCCCCCTTAAATTGTACTTTTTAGAATAATATTGATTCACAATTTGAAAGGAAGGACTCTTGCTGGTACAGTATCTTGTGAAGGTAAATAGACTTCTGAAGGTCAATTCTGATCTCTTTCAAATTCATTCTTAACTTTTTATTCTAGTAATAATTATAGTTACCATTTATTATAAGTGCTTAACACTGTCATAAATATATCTATTTACTGGTCCTGTGAACTTTGAACATTGTTCCCATGTTACAAATGGGGAAACCTATTAGTGACAAAACATCATTTTACATATAGCAGCAAAATAATCATAGTAAATTCATAACACTTTTTAAATTTAAAACATGGTCACTATAGCTTTTATCAGTCAGTAAGTAGTCGTAAACATTAGTAAAATCATGGCCGCAGTAGCTTATTAGTAGAGTGTTGGAAAATTTCTAAAAGCTTATAAGGACAGAAAAACAACAAACCCAGTTCTTTATAAGGAACATAGATGCAGACCAGTGTGCAACTTGAAATAAAATACACTTGACCCTTTAACAACACAGGTTTGAACTGCAGGTCCACTTATATGCAGAATTCTTACAGTACTGTAAGTATACTTTTTCTTCTTTAGGATTTTCTTAACACTTTTTTTCCTCTA